GCCTATATATATATATATATATATATATATATATATTATTTTTATTTATTTATACCATGAAAAATTGATACCATGTGACTTGTAAATAGGGTCAATTGTAAAAGCAAAGGGAGGGCGAGGGGGATGAGTGTTGACTGGTTTTTTCCTCATTTTCTCTTTTATGCTCAATGCTAGTAGGATTTGGGCATAGCTTATGAATAACATGAGACCCTACGTCTTAAGTGAATTCAATATCCTGAAAGGTGCGGTGAGCATGAGTGTGTGCATTGAATTTGAAGTTATGCATAGACTCTCCAGAGGGACAACAAAATCGCACTAGAAGATTCTTCACCATATGAGATAAGATATTTATTATTAAATCTTTCATTTGTACATCCTTTAAACTCTACTCTAAAAAAATTTTCATTAGTATCATCATTTTTTCAAAACAAGTAACTTGTCTCTTATAAGCAAGCTTCATTAAAAAAAATAATGAAGTGAAAAAAACATCCAAATAGTTCATCATAATCACAAGGATTAGATGATACAAAAGGGGAGTAGGCTGAAGACCCCCGAGCAACCTTATAGTAGTAGCTAAAAGCCCACAAGGATGTAAGACTCTCATAGTAGAGCGAAAGTCTCCTCGAAGTGTAGTCCAATCGTGCTGAAAACATCTTGGATAAGGGATATTTGATAAGTCACGATGAAAAAGTCTACCTTCCTAATAATAAAATAATTAAAAAAAAAATCCTTCTAAACTTTTAAACCCTACTCGGCTCAATAGCCGAATGCAAGGGACGACTTTGGAAAAACTCTTTTCGAAATATAACTCTATTGAATAAAAGATGAAGTCTGTTAACCTAGGGAGGTAAAAGTTGAAAAATTACGGTGACTGCTTTTAGGTGTAGCCAAAATGCTCCTAGAAGAAGGATAGTCCAAGTTTAACGAAATTATTATTTTTTTTTTTTTGTGTAATCGGGTTATATTATGACGATACAATATATCTTGTATAAAAAAGAAGACAATTTATTTCTAACAATACTTGAGGAACTCTCTCTATAAGGCCACCAAGTCAACAATGAAGTGTTTGAAGGTGGACTTTTAGGTGTAGCCAAAATGCTCCTAGGAGAAGGATAGTCCAATTTTAACGAAATTAAATTTTTTTTTTTGTGTGTAATCGGGTTATATTATGACGATACAATATATCTTGTATAAAAAAGAAGACAATTTATTTTTAACAATACTGAAATGAATTCTATGCTTGTCTTATAAAGATAAACAATGTATAGCTTCATGTTTTGCATTCTATTATTCTTTTATCCAAGAGAAGAAAATCGGGAAGTAAATGTATACACCTAAAAAGCCTTTTGAGCTGCCCAATTGCTGAATTGCCCAACAGGAGAACAAGTTGAACTGCACAGCTCAATAAAAGAATTGGTTGAACTGCCAAGCATGAGAACTGGTTGAACAACATAGCCCAACAGGAGAATTTGTTGAACTATGCAACCCAACAGAAGAATTGGTTGAATAACCCAACAGAAAACTGGTTGAACTGCATAGTAGGAGAACTGGTTGAACTGCGTATCCCAATAGAAAAATTGGCTGAACTGCCCAACAGGAGAATTGATTGAACTGTCTAGCATAAGAACTGGTTGAACTGCGCTACCCAATAGAAGAGCTGATTGAACTGTCCACAAAAGAACTGTTTGAACTGCACAACCCAACAGAGAATTAGCTAAATTGTCCAGCAGGAGAACTGGTTCAACTGCTCAGCAGAAGAATTGGTTCAACTACATAACAACAGAACTGGTTGAACTGCCCAACAGAAAAAGTAGTTAAACTAATCAAACTGTAAGACATGACATGAAGTTGTTGTGCATGACATAAAGCGGTAGAATATTGCATAAAATTATCAGGCATGGCATAAGGTTGCTGAAAATGACATATAGCTGTATCTTTATATATATATATATATATATATATATATATATACAATAAAAAAATGACACCCTATGATTTATAAATAAGGGCCAACTGTAAAAGCAAGGGGAGGGGGAGTGGGGATGAGTGGCGACAAGTCTCTCTCTCATTCTCGCTCTTATGCTCAATGCTAGTAGGATTTGGGCCTAACTCACGAACAACACGGGACCTTATGTCCCAGAAGGAATCAATACCTAAAATTGGAATTACAACATTTATAATTAGTATATTCAAAAATATTTTTCAAATCTCATACAACGCCTACCAAATATATATTAATACAAGAATCATGCATGTTTAAATTCAATCCAATTTGTTTATTGTTAATAATTATTTCTAATGATTCATTAGATGAAAAAAGTTTATATACAGTCACAATATGAATCTACATTTGATTTTATGAAACTTGAATCAATAGCATAGTTCTATAATCACGAACTTTACTTATTGTTCAGTAGAAGAGTTACATATGTATTGTAACGCCTTAGAATATCGGAACTGGCTGGTTCGAGAGAGAGAGAGAGAGACAAATAGTGCTGGGATGCGTTCAGGGGCAGATTCGATTATTGACGAAAAGTGAGCGAGGGGGAGAGTCTTACGTATGTGAGTAAGCTAGAGATGGAGAATAGTGGGATATTTTAAGGGGAGAGTTGTCCTTTTAGGTGTTTATTAAACTATCAACATGAAATGGGATCTCACTTTTTCCTTAAGCTTCTAAGTTTAAGGGGAGAGTCATACTATTCAAGAATGCTTAGAAACTAAGAGAACTTGGTCAAGAACCAAAGAGCTAGTAACATTTCCACTGATGTTTACTTGTGATATTGCCTATAATTTTGACTGTTGTTTTTTAAACATGTTTGAAGAGCTTGAAATTAAGAGGCATCCATTATAATAATGTGTCTCCAAAGTCCACAATTTAGGATTGTGAATTTCCATTTTGGATGTTGAAGATATTTAAGATCATATCTGTTTGAGCTATCACACGGTTGATGATTTCTGGTACGTAATATTCGATTTGAATTGGATAGTTGGTTACTTGAATAAGACTTCTTGGTACTAGTGTTGCATCAATTTTGAATTCATGGCATGATGTAGCACCGAAGAGAGATCTTTCCAAGGTCATGTTATGTTCAACCATCATCATGGTTTCAACCAAAAAAATTCGTAGAGGAAGGATGAGTCAGGGTCCTATTTATGAGAGTAAATGATGGGTAAAATTAGAGAATGATGCAAGTTAGAGTGGGCTTGTTTTGATGCTGTATTGCAAAAGGAAGAATACATCATATTTTTCTTTACCCACTACAGAGAAGATATATAATATCTATGGCCTATATTATGAATTTTGAATAGGAAGAAAATAAGGAATAAAATCAGACCATAATCAACCCAGTAAAGAGAAAAAATAAGAATGATATTATCATAAATTTTATTAAAGAATGTAGCAAATAATCGCATTCTTTATAAGTTAGAGGACTACATATGAAAAATATCTTATATGAGAAGTGGAGGAGCTGGTGGTCTTGCATGGAAGGTGTAGCTGGTAGGAGATATGAGTAGCAGATGCAACTTTGTATGGAATGAGTAGTTGAAAGTATGAAGGCGAGATAGTAGCTGAGGCTCGTATGGAAGGCAGAGTGGCTTGTAGGAACCAGTGGAGGAACAGCTGGCTGGCTTTATGGAAGGTGGAGTTGGCAGGAGGCAATAATGAAGGTAGAAATATAGGGAGCATCTGATGTAGGCTGGCGGATGGTGGTAGTGGTTTGATTGCAGGATTACCTGATAAAGTTTTTAAAATATCATGATTTATTACAAAATCATTTAATAACATACTTGATTGCTTAACTAAATTGACCATCTTTGATTTTTTGTATTTTCATTATTTTGAAAATCTACATATTTTACAACAGAAACATAATTAACTTATTCCTTGCTGTCGTGTACTTGCTTTTGTTAAGTGTTTTATTTATATAAATCTTTTTAGATTTCATAAAAGATGAAGTTCTTGTGTAGCCTGCCATATTTGCGCCATCCTTTGTAAACATTTGAATAAAAGATGGTATTTAATGTATCCGCATTTAAGCCAAGCCAGGAATTATGTTTTTGTACTTGGATTAATTTACAAAAGATGAACATTTTTTGAGGTTTAGCTTAACTTATTGGATGAATATACGAAAGGACAGTATGTTTAGCAACAGATTTTGCTGTATATATTTAATCTAGTTTTGGCAATCTTTTTTGTTTTGTTATTGTCATATTTGGCTGAAGAACAAATGGATTTTTTTTTCTCACAAGACGAGCATCTATTTTCTAGTTCAGCTCTGTAAAGAAAGAGTATGATGAACTGAACTCCAAAACTCTTGAAGCAGAGAAAGATGTGAAAGTGGTCCAGATGAAAATACAAGATGCAAGGAGTCATCTATTGAAACTTCGAAAAGAGATGGATGGTAAATTTTTTATGGAGCCATTTCTTTATGTTTTTTATTTGAATTTTGCATGTGTCATAAATTTTTATAATTTTAAAAACATGTATTTTGCACAAATTGTAAGTGCTATGCTGATTATTTTAATCCAGTAGTTATTTCAGAACTTAATTTAACCTATAATCTTCTATTATTGATGATACCAAGAACATTTTTGTTGTGAAATTCTCTTCCTTGGTTTTGATGTTGAAATGTCTTGTGCTAATTTTTATAATTACTTCTAAAAATAAGAGTGGTTTTTCTTATTTTTTGTTTTAAAACCTTTGAAAATAGATATCAAATAGATCTACTTGAATATCAGTGATGTAATATAATCGATAACGGTACTTGGATCTTGAAAGCACTTACTTGGCTAATAATTTTAGTTATTCTATCATCAATCAATCCAAATCTACGTTATGGATTCTTCTTTATAGAATCAGGGTTACAAGAATAAGGCCAAAAGTTTAAATACAACTCTAATCCTATCCGAGGACAACAAAATTTAAATTTGATTTTTTTCTTGTCCAAGAGAAAATGAAAGCTAATAACTTTAAAAAATCAATATAATTTTGTCCATAAATGCAAATGGGCATTATGGCTCGACTCCTTTAATTACTTGTGTCCTATGGCTAGTTGGGCTTTTGTGGACTACTATCGCCTATTTGAAGTTTTGAGCTGCGTTACTATAGTTCGGAAAGATCTTTAATTCTTTAGCATTTATGCTTACCATGAGGCAATGTTAATTTTTTCTTCTTCTATTTAGAATAACAAATGGGACAAACCAGAGTTTTTCCATTATTAAAGGTCAATTGGTACTCCATCCTTCTAGCTGTTTGATAGTTTTTTTTTAATAATTTTTTTTTGGTTATATTTCGCTTTTTTTTATTTTAGGTGAAACCTTGATAGTCCTTAACTAGTTTTGCAAAATCTGCATGATGAAAGAAATTTCTGATATATAATCAACTTTTGTAGCTAAGGGAAGATTTCTCGAGTCCAAACTCCACTCCATGATTCAGGAGTCTGATATTATTGATTCCTTTCCGAAAGTTTTACTTGAAGCAATGGAGAAAAGAGATGTGCAGAAAAGGTTCTCATACATATTTCTACATTAAATTTCAGATTTTCTTAGATGAGGGATTATTTTTATATTTCAATTATAGATTTAATCTAAGCCGGCTCATGCACCTTGCCTTTCTGACTCTTGATTCAGTAAATACAACATTGCTGATGGGATGAGACAAATGTTTGATCCTTTTGAAAGAGTTGCTCGTGCCCATCATATTTGTCCATGCTGTGAGCGACCTTTCACTCCAAAGGAGGAGGATGATTTTGTTAGTAAGGTTAGCGGTTGCCATAAAGCAGGGTGCATACTTGTTTTGATAGGTTGATTTATCACCTTTATTTAGGTTCGTGCCATTGCTGAAACTCATTTTTTTTTTCTCTTTATTTTTCATATCAGCAAAGAGTTAAAAGTGCTAGCTCTGCTGAGCATATGAAGGTATTGGGAGTTGAGTCTTCAAATGCTGACTCGCATTTCCAGCAATTGGACAAGCTCCGTATGATTTATGAAGAATACGTAAAACTTGCAAAAGAAAACATCCCTTTAGGGGAAAAGAATTTGCAAGAGTTGATGGAAGATCTCAGTCAGAAGTCCCAAGCTTATGATGATGTAATGTTTATCACTTCTCTTATTTCACCTTTATTGTTTTCCACAGAACATGATTGTCTTCATTTTTGAAAAACCAAATAGGTGGAGTTATCAAAATGCAGAGGATCGCCTTCTTCTGTAGCTTCAATTATCTTTTGCTTCATTTAGCATATTTTTTCGAGCATCTTCACGTTGAATTTTCTCTCAAAGAAGAGTGAAGCATACTGCAAATCTTTTTAATCAGACAAACATATCATCTTGGTTTGCCTAGATTATAACAAGAACATGAAGCTCTATTGGTCATCATAGACAGATTGACTAAGTCTGTGTATTTCATGCTGATTAGGCATATATATCATGTTGAGAAATTAGTAAAGTTGTATGTGGATGAGATTGTACGATTGCACAGGATGCTAACATACATAGTTTTAGATAGGCTTAACATATCAATATCTAGGTTATGGAGAAAAAATCAGGAAATTTTGGGCACAAAATTTGCTTTCAGTATTGCATTTCACATTCAGCTGTTTAATCAGAAAGGATAATTCAATATTTAAAGGATTAAATATTTTTATATATTCTTGATTTTAGTGGAACTTGAGGTCGCATATATTATTTATAGAATTTGTATACAACCACAATTATCAGAGAAGCATTGGAATGATTCAAAATGAAACTCTTTATGGAAGTAAATGCAGGACATCATTAAATGGTTGGTGCAGAGTTTGTAGATGCTGCTGCTTAGAAAGTCATATTGGTTAGAGATAAATTAAAAGTTATTCAAGATAGATAACAAATATATTATGATGCTAAACACGGCCATTTAAATTTGATGTTGGCGAGATTTTTTTTATTTTTATTTTTTATTTTTTACTCAAAGTCAATCCAATGAAAGGAATGCAATGTTTTGGATGGACAAGAAAATTAACGCTCCAACATATAAGATGATTTAAAACTGTTGAAAAAATTGGGAATGTGAGTTACTGATTCGCTCTACCAGGACACATATAGGGAGTACATGATATTTTTCATATTTCTATACTTGGAAAGTATATTGTTGATTAATCAAATTGAGTGATTGCAGATTCTATTGATATACAATCTGATTTACTTATATAGAAGAACTCGAGGGGATACTGGATTGTGATGCTGAGGGATTCTGCTATAGAAAAATTTTGTTTGTAAGAATTTTATGGAAGCATGGACAAGAGAATGATATCACTTGAGAGAGTATCTGAAATACAAGAAAAAATGTTCACATCTATCCGATTAAGCTATGCATTTATAGTAACTTTTAAATTTTGAGAAAAAAAAATTATGAGACTGCAACAACCGAAAAATAATAATAACTAAAAAAATAAAAGAAAATGAAAAAAATTAATTGGTGCATCGTTTCAATGAAACCAATGCCATTTACATTATTAGCAATGGATAGGATATATTGAAACTATTTATTGGAGTGAATTGAGCGAAGAGAAATAGAGATGAGTGGGAGAACATGTATGTGTATTATTCAGAGATGAGCGGGAAAAGAAATCGACTGTGAAATTGAAATTGAGTGCAAGAGATACGGTCTCGTGCAAATTTATCATTGATGACGGTGTGTTTGTTGAGTGGAGCGTACGAGGCATAATCAAGTGTTAGGAAATGGACAATGTCGCATGAGGAAAAGGACTTGTGGGTTGTTTGCCGGTGAGTTCATGTACGAGTGACAGAGACGGAACAAGTGGAGACAACGCATAGGGTGAGCAACATGCTAGTTTCTTTCAGGAGACAAGTGGTGTGAATATGCCAGAATCACGTGGGAGATGCAAGAAAGGAACTGGTTGAACCCAAGTAGGGAAAATTAAAGGTTAGGGTTTATTTTTAAATCCAAAAATTGTTATTTTAAGTTAAATTTTAATAAGTAGTAAGGTTAAATTTTATTTAATAATTCAAAACATTATTAGAAAATGATTTGAAAGTAAACATAAAGAAAGGCAGAATGTGAGAAAGGAAAAACGGAGTGGTGAAAAAATGTGGTGAGTGCTCTTCATTTGGATGCATTATTTATGACTTCTCTGTTTTTAGTGGATTTTATCCTCTGTTTCTCTTGTGGATATATGTTTGGTTAAAGGCAAGCCACGCAAATCCTAATACTTGGCTATTCTCTCTCTTTATTTTATGTAGTGGCATATAATTCATTATCCTTTTGATTCTTCCGCATCATGTCTATTGATTCCTTATTTATGTTACCACTCTTGTCCAACAATTTTTGTCCTTGCTACTTTACATCGTACTTGCAGCTCCTTGGTGTTACAGCTCATGTCAAGTCTGACAAGGATGGAGTGGAGATTTTGGTGCAACCTGCTGAATTGTTTGAAAGATACTTCATTGAAATTCAGAATTTAAAACCTCAAATTGAGGATTTGGAGTATAAACTTGATGCGCGAGGGCAAGGAGTGAAATCTCTGGAGGAAATTCAATCACAGTTAAATTCCTTGCAGAGCAAAAGGTGATTCCCCCTCTGATTTTTTTTGGTTTTCTGTCACAAGTTATCTGATGTTAGCAAGAATTGCAAAATGAATATTACATTGATTTTATATGATAAAAGTAATTGTTTACTTGATGGATGGAGAGTGTACTTTTCTTTAGTGTGGTTAGTGTGTAGATTTACGTCCCTGTTGCATTCAGACTTTTGTTAATGCTTTGATTTTCTTTTTCAAGGCATTTAACTCTGTGTTGTCAGTAACTGGAAGTCAAGTGATTTGAAAAAAATATGTTTCAGAAGGTCTTATGTTGTCAACTCAAAAATATGTTTCAAAAGAAAATAATTGGCTCTAAAATCTAGCACCAAGACTTCGTTATTTCCACATAATACATCATCGTCCTCCATTTGAAATTAAAATTATTTGTGCTCAATTCTCAATCATTCTTGAGTGTTGTTTGAGGTGCAAAATCTATTATTAACAAATTATTTTGAACCCAAACTTAGATCGTTATGAATCTGTTCTTTTTTATTGGAGAACACTTGTTATGACACCCTTGAAGATTATCTAATGGAAGAGAGGCACATAAGGTTTAGTTAGTAATACGTTCAGCTCTAAGACATGATCAATTAAGAATAATATTGAAGTCTAGTTTTATGATTTTAAAGAACTGCATGTTAATTTAGGCTTCCATCTTGCTCAGCTACACATGAATGCAATGAAAGTTTAATTTTGGATTTGAGCATAAAAAAATATTTAGGGGCAGTTTGGGATTACTTTTGATTTATTATTATTAATTTATTTGTTATTTTATTTTCTTTATATTTTTACGTTAAATAATAGATGTTTGGTATGTGTAACATTTTTTGTTTTTAAAAACACTCCAACCAAATTTTAAATGTTAAGTATTTTTTAAAAACGAGCTAATTTATTTATTTTTAGCAAAATGTAAAACATGCAAAAAAAAATATTAAAAAAAATTGTTTTAAAATAAAAGCAACAATAAAAAAATAATAAAAAATTGAAAAAAAGATCCCAAACAAGCCCTTAATGGACAAAGCTATTCATCTCTAAGATCTGATCATCTACGAATTATATCAAAGTCTAGTCTCATTATTTTGAGGAATATGTGTTATCCCATCCGCACACACCTGTATACAATGATAGAAAGGCATCAAAATTTTTTTGCAAACCTGCATACAATGATAGAAAGGCATCAAAATTTTTTTGCAACTTTTTCTTGCTTTTCATCATGCTATGGTAAATATAAATGTATAATGATGGAGGCTTTAACCTGTCTTTTTTTTACTGCTAACTTTTGTTACATGTTTTTGTAGAATTATCTATGACAGGTTTTCCGATTTCTAAAAATGGCAGTTTCTCTTTTGCTGTTTAAAAGAATGATATCAAACAAAATTACAATGATGTCTTTTTTGCATAATGAGGCATATGTACCATTTTTCCATCATTTCAGTTTTGAGTAAAACTTAATGTGACCAGGGATGCCTTGAGTTCTGAAGTAGAAAGCCTGAGAGAAGAGCAGAGATTCTTGAGTGATGATTTATCTAACGTACAAATGAGGTGGCATGCTCTTCGAGAGGAGAAGCTACGGGCATCAGGTATATTACATAAAGTGAAAAAAGCAGAAGAGGAATTGATTCTCTTAGCTGAAGAAAAGGCTCAAGCTGAGTTTGATGAAAAGGTATCTGCCTTTACTTTTTATTTAGGAAATTTAAATATGCACGGCACAATTCTTATGGATTTACATACCTAACACATAAAGTTTATTGCATTTATAACACTTCGGTGCTTTAAACCTATGAAGAAGAAGGTGCATTTGAATTTTAAGAAGTTAGTGGGAGTGGGATTGATGTTAAAGATTTTAGTTCAATGAATGTAAATATTAAAGTTTGTGTTAGACATATGAATACATAATAATTGTGTATATAAATGCCCTGTATTATTTTTCTTCCTTTTGTAACGACCATCTCTCATTGTTTTTTTTTTCTCCTTTTTTTTTCAGTAATTCTAAATGTAAAGTTTGTGTGTGTGTGAATTGCTCTTCCTTTTATGGTGAATAAAATTAGATGCTTCTATTTATTGCATATGGGAACTAATTGTTAATTTAGTATAATGCTATATTCCATGATGTCGCCAAATTTCATTGAATCTCCTGCATGGAAAAACATGGTTTGAATATATATTTAATTTTGTTTGTCCTTATAACTTAATTGTCATTTTCCTGCTTTCTGTCATCTTACTTAGAAATCATATTAATTATTTTATGAAACTTATTAAAACTTATGTTTCAACCCTTTGACATTCTCCCTTTTTTTGTATTATTCATAAAGTTGTTCCCATCCTTATAGTGCCACATCATATTTGAAAAGTTGTGGTTTTAATCTCAAAAGTATAAATTATTTCTCTTTATAGAAAATAACCATTTACTGATAATCATACTAATAAGTGTTATTTTTTTTATTTTTTGGAATATTCATGATGTCTTTCATCAAGAACTGAAGATGCAGCATTGCTAAGCAGACCTTTTAAAAGGAAACATTATAAGTTTGGATTTTTTAATTTATTTAGAGGTGTTGGCAATCAAGCAATGCTCTTGCTTACTGTCTGTACCTAATTTGAAAGCAATCAAAGGAATATGAACTTTTTTTCACTAATGAATACCCTCGGTTGTATTGATTAAGACAAACGCCATTGTCAAGATTCACCTGCTATTTTATCCATTGAAGCCTATATATCCTTCGTCACCATACAAGTTTTTGGATGTTGGTGATATTGCAGGAACCTTGCCAAACTACTACTTGCTATGTTGTCTCATTGCAAGTGTTCATTACATAAATTCTTTCATTTACTCGACGTACTTCCATTGATGATTCACCACTCTTGAAGCTTATTGACCTCATTTTAACAGCCTTGTTGGCCATAACTTTGACCACCTCTGGAAACCATTGAACACCACAGACTAGAGCACCAATGTTGCCTTGTTGATCAATTGCCTTCTTATTGACCTCATTTTAACAGCCTTGTTGGTCATAACTTTGACCACCTCTGGAATCCATTGACCACCACAGAGTAGAGCACCAATGTTGCCTTGTTGATCAATTGCCTTGGCATCAGTGAGAACTCAATTACCTCCAACTCCTCTAGATCATCAACCAAATGAGTTCTCCAAGTTCTCATTAACCTTCATTGGCATAGCCTACTTAATCCTTGGATGCATGATTGCCCCTACTTTACTGTTGGAACTTCAAAACCTAGGAGTTGTTGAAGAAAATATGTGTGCAAGAGCAATGGTATGTACAAGAACTAACTAAAATACGTAAAGAAGCAAATTAAAAAAAAAGGGAAACCAAAGACTTACGCAGTTAGGTGATATTCACCAATATTCATGGATACACGAAAGAGATTTCACAAATACCTTGACAAATACAATATGTAATATTTTAAAATCAAATATTCCCTTTCTTTTTCTATGTGTCTAGTTTTTCTTTCTTATTTTCAACTCTGCTTCTACCGATATAATTCAATGAACCAACCATTCATAGGGAT